GTGGGGAGCTGCGTTGTGCCATCTTGCTCCCCCTTCTTCCTCCATCTCCATCTCTGTCACTAGCGGAGCACCACACCTGGTGGGTCCGCTACAGGCCCGATGACCCTTTCGCTGCTGAGAGGCCGTCTATCCTGGGTGTCATGGGGGGGTACTTGCTTGGTGACGGCGGGTATCCCAATCTTCCGTGGATTGTGATTCCTTACGGTCAATCGCCGCGTGTCACGAGGGCCAATCAGCGTTTCGATGCGCTGCATAAGGTTGTGCGGTCTTGTGTCGAGCGTTTTTTCGGAGTATTCAAACAGCGTTTCCAGTGTTTCTACAGGCCCCATATACCGGACATGTCCCGTGAGAAGTTGGAGTTCCGGGCCTGTTGTATCCTCCATAATTTGCTGCAATCTGGGGGGGCTATGCCAGATGCGGACGGGGAGCTCAGTGATGCGTCGTCTCCCGATGCTCCACCTCAGGATGTTGACCTCCGTGTTGAAGGCGCCCCATTGGAGTTTATGTTTGGCAGGGAGCGCGGCCAGGCGGTGCGGGACGCATTGTGCGCTGAGGTTGTCCGTTTGTGGGAGCTGCGGCAGCGACAGGCCGTTTAGTTGGTTCATCGTGGATTGTTTAAGCCCTATTGCAGGCTCCCCGATTCACACAAGTCTTACAATTCTCCTTGCAGTTGCAGGTGTTGGGTTCGGGGCTGCCCTCTCTCACTGTTTGTACTTGCTCGACCACGACGACAGTGGTGCCATGGCGGGAAATGTGTCACGCAGGAACTACGTGTTCGAGAAGCATGTGCTCATCCAGAGCTTGGATAGGACGGAGGCGGAGGTCGCACGGCTGCATAGGTTCCTGGTTACGAGGGCCGACAACTTCACAATCACACTGAGGAGCAGGGGGAGTGAACACACGACAGACATATCCTTGGAGAACATACATGATCGCCACAGGGCTTCCTCCGTGTTGAGACGGCTGCGCGAGTCGCGTGACGCTCTACGCCAATGTTGTGACGATGTTGTCGGCAACAATATGCAGCTACGCCGACAGCTTGATCGTTGGAGACGTGTGGCTGAGGACATGCGGGAAAGATTTGAGCATGCTTCCCGTGCTTTGGACACTGCTGTGCAGCAGAGGGATGATGCCATGCGCAGGTTGGAGTCCGCTGAGGAGGAGTTGAGAGTGGCGCGGGCTCAGGCAGAGACAGCATGGCGGTTTTATGACGAGGTGCTTCACGGCGTAGCATGTGAAGGCATGACAGAGGGTGAGCAGCTGGCAACGCAGTTGGACCGCTTGTGTGTTTCGGGGAAGGGGAAAGGGAAGGAGGCTTCGACGTCGTAAGCCTCTTCCTGTAGTGCCTGCGACGCCAACCGCGCCGCTTTGTTGGAGAAGGAGAAGGAAATTGCGAGT